CCTAGTCTCATCAGAGAGTCAGCATGAGGTATTGTCTGTGTACAGCATAATTTAGGAGGGTTATGCATCAGGTACATGGTTAATCAGTGTTCAGTGCTTAGTCAGTGTCTATGATTGATGATTTCCTTTTAATTCTTGAGCCCAGCTTTCTGCTCAACACATTTTATTCATAATGAATGTACAGATGGGCATTCCAATATTCCATGTTTGGGAACTGATGTGTATATAGTAAATGCTTTTAGGGTATTTGCAAAGGTGTGTGAAGATTGGTAAGGAACATTACTTTTATAGAGTATTAAAAAACAACAACACATGTGCACGCACAGGGTGTTTTTCAGCCTTGTTTAATTGCCACCATGAAAGAGAATTTGGTTCACCCATATTTGCACATCATGTCATGTGACTTGGCAATGCACTCTGCCCCCCAGCCAGACCTTGATTCAGACAGGTGCTTCCATGTGCCTCTCCCTCTTCCCAAGTTGTCTCAAGTGCAGTGAGCCAGGTACATTAGCAGCTCCCCTGAAACTCATGTCTGGCTTGACATCTTCTGCTCTTGTGGCCCTGGGGGAGGTGGGACTTTGGATTTGAGAGATAGCCAGAAAGCTGGTGTGGAGACCTCTGGTGTTGGGACAGGGATGTCTGGATCCCATGGTTCTTCAAGGCCACTGGCAGTGTGTAGATCTGATGGGTACTTCTGTGCCCCCCCCCACTCTCCTCCAAGGAGACCTCACTCAGGTTATTGGCAGGACTGACTCTATTTTTTCCTCTGTGTGTGTGTGTGTGTGTGTGTGTGTGTGGGAGAGAGAGAGAGAGAGAGAGAGAGAGAGAGAGAGATGGTGAAAACAAAAAATATAAAAAGGTGGAGGTGCTAAGGAATGCAGTTAAATGTATATGAAAATGACATTGATTAAGCTATATTTATGAAATATGGTTAAAGTTCATGTAAACTATTTTGACTTCTATCATTATGCAGCACTCAGAAGAGCTCCTTGCTCTCATCAGTGCTACCTTGTTCTCGATTTGTTTGTGTGTGTGTGTGTGTGTATGAGAGCAGCAGATCAAACAAAATAGCATTGACAGGTAAAGACATCTCCTGAAATATGTGAGAGGCAATGTAGCTGCCTGTATTGTAAATTGCTGGTACCCTTCTCACCAGCTGTCACCTTCTGTGATGTTTTATTGATGAAAAGAAAAGTGTCCCTGGTTAAAGAATGCCTTCCTTCTCTCAACTAATTCCAGATTTAAGGGTTGAAAATGTGTGTGTGTGTGTGTGTGTGTGTGTGTGTGAGAGAGAGAGAGAGAGAGAGAGAGAGAGAGAGATGTGTATCTGCGTGTGTATTTTGCAGTTAACCAATATAAACAAAATATTTGTTTTTCAGTATGTGGCACTCAGATCAATACAAAAATGTGAACTGAGTGTTAAAGTATATTTTATTATAGCAACAGATGCTCAGCTGCATGACATAACAGGGTTTTTTGTTCTTCATCAAACCCATTACTGCCTGCTGAATAGATGATCCAGAAAAAAATTAGCATTTTTAAAGTGGATAAATGTCTGTTTTTCAGAGAATGTCATCAATGCCTCTCATTTAAATTGTTTACAATGTTACAAACATGTTATCTCTAGAGATGCTGTAGAAATAGAGTGCTTCACACTAAACAAACCACACAATATTGACAAGTTGCATTTTATTGTGAGAAAGTTTTATGTACATTTTAGAATAATGATTTTTATTCTCCACATATCTAAGTATGTAATGCAAAAGATGTGATTGTGAATATGGAATTTGGAAACTTTTGAACCAAATCATTTAACTGATGGAGTTTTCCATAGTGAGAGACTTCTAAATTCGCTATCTGCTTGATGTTCGTTCCCACCTTTCCAGACAGTGTCATGCAATCAAGCAGCAATCCAGTGTTTGAAGCAATTCAGAATTAAAATATTCAGCTCACATATATTAGCTAATAGCGAAGTGAAGAATTGGCATGAGGCGCATGTGTATATGAAGAATTGTAGCTTGAATTCTGCTTAAGGCAGTGGCTTTTGTGAGGCTGACAGGAGTCTATTTCAGTCCTTTTAGGCTCCCAGCAGCTGAAATCCTGGTGCTTGCTACAAACCCCTGTCTCCTTCCCTTGTGCTCTTATTACCTAGGGATATGCAGAACAGCCCTTTATTTCTGTGGAATTTCCTACTTTTTCTGCCCCATGATCTCAAAATAACTGTAAACTGAAATCCTTGCTTTTAGGAACTGCAGTTGTAAATCAGATGTGCCCCCAAATGCTCGCTACTTTCAGTGGGTTGCTAATCTGGGTGTGCATCCAAACATATATCCCATATTGAACCCTGATTTTCAGTGGGATTAGGTATACGGGTTCACACCCCCATTCTTAATGCCTCCTATACCCAGCTAGCTTGCACAAGAGTTTGCACCTCCAGCCACCAATAATACCCCCTTCCACGGGAGAATGAAATTCATAGAATCAAAGTTGGAAGAGACCATGAGAGTCATCTAGTCCAACCCCCTGCAATGGAGGAATCTTTTCCCCAATGTGGGTCTCGAACCCATAATCCCGAGATTGAGTCTCATGCTCTACTGGCTTTGCTATCCCAAATAATCAAATTGATTTTCTCATTGGGATTGGACTGTGCTGTCAGTCTCGTTACTGAAACTTTCTCCTATAGGCATTTTCACAGCTACATCATGTTAATTAATGGTTTGTACATAGATTTAAATGCCCTCCCCTTAATGCAAACCAGCAGGCTAGTTTCCACCTGTTATATTTATTTTTAGTATGTATTTTTTATTTAAAACATTTATATACCTCATTTTACACTATTACGGTTTCAGAGTGGTGTTTTTTTGTTGGCATCCATCTGTCTTGAGAGACAATGGAGTATGCCTCTGGGGGTGAAATCAAACAGCTGTGTTAGCAGCACTGAAGTGACCTCCCCAGGGTGCAAGCCTCAGCAGTGTGTATGGAGGTCCTGGGCTGCCCAGAGGACAAGACACTTTGCTGAGGTGGTCCAAAGGAAAGTGGACCAATATGGTTGGCACCAACTCGGCTGCAGGAGGTGTACAAGGCGCCATCCAGCCATTCACTCTGGATTTGTATAGGGTTTACTCCTTAGCCTATACTTCTCCCGAAGATATCCTGCAAGGCAATGGAGGTTTAGGACCAGAGTTTTCCTTTTGCTAGATGGGCTACCTTCTCAGGTTCACGAGTCCCATCTGCCCCTCATTGTGGTTGGAAGGTAAATGGTGTTTCCATGCACTCTGGTTTCCGCCACGGTGTCCCGTTGCGCCCGAAGTGGTTTAGTCATGCTGGCCACATGACCTGGAAAGCTGTCTGTGGACAAACACTGGCTCCCTTGGCCTGAAAGCGAGATGAGCACTGCAACCCCATAGTCGCCTTTGACTGGACTTAACTGCCCAGGGGTCCTTTACCTCTTTACCTGTGCATGTGGATATCACTTAATCATGATTCAGGTGCTTTCCTCAAAAAAGATGATTGTGGGAGGGCGGGAACAAGAATTACCTGAAACACATTCTTACTTTTCCGTGGTGATCCTCCCTGATGCAAGAGCAGGCATACCTTTCTGTGTTCAATTCATGCCTTTAAGCATTTAAAAGCCTCTTTTCTCCTACAACTAACTGTTGCTAGTGCATGAAGGAAGAGTGTTTTTATTCCGTGTTACTTCTTGCGTTATGCATTGGAGGTTATCAGTATGTAAGCAGGAGGTAGTTACTATTTTGGTTTCATTAAATCTGCAATTAATTTTTTTTGTCTTTGATATATGTAAAATGCCTAGTGAACATGTAACAGAGATATATGTACATGTTCATACATGCAAAATTCATATGTACAAAATCATAGGTACAAAATTTTGAGTGCAAGATAATGTGCAAGGACACCCTGTGTGCTTCTCTGTTGTCACATTTTAAAATTGACAGTTTGGTCTCAGTGTGAGAGGTTTTGTGAGCTGATTTCAAGGACTAGAGTTTGAGATGAAATAAGCAAAAACTCCTATACACTTGAGGGAGATATACTGCATTGGCAGAATGATGGATTTAGATGACATTTTGGGGGGATTTAGTACTCTCCTCCTTTGGTTTCTAGTTTTCTTCTGTTGTAATGTTTAAACAAATGTTGATTGATTATACAGAGGTGAAAGTGATATCTTAACAAATACATCTGCTGTGATAGTAATGTGGATTTTGGTTTGTTTGTGTGCTCATGGATATGATTTTACATGCGTTACTTAAAGTAGAAATCTTTAGTAGGCTTATCAGCAGTAAACATTATATTTGCTTGATTGTTTATTTATGTAACGATAATTTTTACCCTTTCTGACGCATGCCGAATCGCTCTAGGCAACTTACAACAAATAGATTACAATTTCACAATAAATATGAAGACAGAATGTAATGGAGTTAGAGGGGGCAGCACGGATAAATCAGTCTCTTCAGGTGTCATGGATAGAGTATTTCTTCTGGTGATTAACTGTGATGCTTTGAACACCTGGGACTCCTGCTGAGAAATAGGTGATATGGAAAATTTACCTCGAGTTTAATTTAGAGGTGGGTAAGTAGCCTTGTGCTCACCCCCCTAATCAACTGTACCTCCTGAGCATTAAAGTCAAATGCTCAGAATTCTTCCAGGAGGTTCACTCAAGGATTAACTTTACACTTGAAGGTTACAATGCCAGACTCAGCATAGGCACTGGGGGATTCTAGCAACAGTAGGAAAGATCTGGATAGGTCTTTACTTATGCAAGAAATGGCATTCTATGCATTCTTCCCCACACAGGTTCATGGGCCTTGCCTTGAGAACTAAATCTGTGACTGTACTGTTATTTCATTTTCATCTACATAGAAACAGAAGCTGCATATTGTTTTGCATGTAATGTTTAATTTAAACTTTGCCTACAGTCCTTGTGTTAACAGAAAAGGTGGACTGGCTTTATTTTTGTTTTTGTATTGTTAGAGAATATTAAAAAAAAACAAAACACACAAAGCTTGCTCTGATGTAATTCTTGGTTCTCTTGTTCTTCCACAGCTAATTCAAGTCTTCTCGGAGGTGGCGGTGGTAAGTTTGGCCTCTTTTCTACTAAGTGTTGCAAGAAACAAAAAGTATTTTTTTGAAATAAAACTCAATCAACAGAACATCTAGACTGAATAAACAGGCAAGAATTTGACCACATGCTATAAATTTAAACATCTTCAAATTTTACAATACAGATAATCACTATACATCCTGTCTAGCAGAGGCTAGGCGTTGTTTTTGAGTATGGTAATTATGTAAAATAACTCATAGGTTGGTATCACTATAATCTGACTAATCCCCAACATAAGTGCAAAATGCCTACTTTGTTGAAGGTTCATTTCATACCGGAAGAATTCAATTTGGGGAAGAAGAGGTTAAAGGGGCAGTAGGTAGGAGTGTTGGGCTTGTGAATAATTTGCCATCAGTGGTTGTTTCTGTTTTAGATGTATTGTAAGTTATTTCAAGGGACGCGGGTGGCGCTGTGGGTAAAGCCTCAGTGCCTAGGACTTGCCGATCGTATGGTCGGCGGTTCGAATCCCCGCGGCGGGGTGAGCTCCCGTCGTTCGGTCCCAGCTCCTGCCCACCTAGCAGTTCGAAAGCACCCCTAAGTGCAAGTAGATAAATAGGTACCGCTTTATAGCGGGAAGGTAAATGGCGTTTCCGTGTGCTGCGCTGGTGCAGGCTCGCCAGAGCAGCTTCGTCACGCTGGCCACGTGACCCGGAAGTGTCTCCGGACAGCGCTGGCCACGTAACCCGGAAGTGTCTCCGGACAGCGCTGGCCCCCGGCCTCTTAAGTGAGATGGGCGCACAACCCTAGAGTCGGACATGACTGGCCCGTACGGGCAGGGGTACCTTTACCTTTAAGTTATTTCAAGAAGAATCTCAACTGATACTTAAGGTTTTTTGTGCTTTACTTGCTCTGAACTGGTGAGAGGCAAAATAACTTGACACATGATAATGCCATTTCTCTTATTGCTTAGAGAAATTCTAACATATACCCCTCCACTTCCTTTCCCTTATCTTGCTTTTTGTATTAAAAGCTTTGCAAAGTGTATATAACAGTTTTTTTGAGGTGTGGAGGGGAAATTATGCTCCGATGGGTGTGGAACGTGGGGGGTGGGATATGGAGGAAACAGAAAGTCTCTGATAGATATGTTATAAATACAAAAGCAGTAGTCACATTTTCTAAGCTTCTGTCTTGGCTATAGTTATAAGGGTCTGATGATCTTCTGCAAATGGAAAGGGGGAAACCATTTTAAAAGCTGAAGGCCACTTGATGCTTTTAGTGTTGGAATCATTGTACTTGTATGATTGACAGCATTGAAGATTGACCATTTTGAGATCAATATGTGCTGGGTTGGTCTTCAAATGCATTTGTTACATCATTGAGATGGAAATAATATTTTAGGTACAAACCTAACCTTATTTGTGGATGAGGTGACTATTACTTTTATTATGGGACCGCGGAAAGCGCGCCAAATGCAATGCTTTCGGCCCCTGCAGCCCTGAAGCTGCCTCTGGAAGCAGCTTTTGATATGCTTTGAGTTTTGACAGTTCAGGATGTAGCAGAAACATGTGATGTTGGGAAAGTCTCTGTCTTAAATGTGCCATATATCTCACAGCATTATCAAATGCTATGTAAGATATTTGCCAGCCTATATCTGCCATGTGGTCCTTTTGGTTCTAATGGTGTTGCAATCTGAAAGTATGTGAGAACTAATGAGGGGCAAAGAAAGTGTAATAACAAATTTGACTCAAAAGACCAGAAAGCTCAGATTAATTCTGGTAGGCTACACAGTATTTATTTATATCTAATATTTTTAAACATTTATTCCTACCTTTGGGGCAATTGTGTGATGCTCCTCATTCTTACAATAAGTGAGATGAGTTGAATTTTATTCCTCAGAGAGCTTGGATTGGATTTGCATAGGTACTTGGTACTTTCATCTTGCTAAAGAGCACTTCAGTCATTACCCACAAATGCTGATCATTTTTACTTCAGATTGACAGGAAGGCTTTTTGTCACATTTTCCTGGTTTAACAGCAGTTGTTTTTTCTAGAGGTATTGTAACCATTTCCTGCCAGTTAATAGCAGAGGCAGAATACCTTTCTCCTAGCTATGCTTACCCTCCCCCCACCCCAAACCTTTTCATATCCAAAGAATTAAACAATATGGACACAACAACATACCAAAGCTAATCAGTTTGAAGTCCTATTGATTTCAATACCAGAGATTTAAGAACATGCTTAATCCTCTGATTGAGATCAGTGGGACATAAGTTTTGACTAGGTCATGACCCATATGTCTACATTTTAACCTTGACTCCTATCATTATTTGGATACTTAATAAGCTTGTTAAGACAATGAGACCAGGGCATGAGCGTAACACTACTCTCTCTAATAGTGATTCCCATATTTCCTCTGACAGTGGAGGTAAAATATAGCCATAATAGGTGGGAGCCACTGATAATCTTATCCTCAATGAAATTGTCTAATCCTTTTTATAGCCATCTGTGGCGTTTGCCCGTTCGTTTGAAAATGTCTGTACAGGGGGAGAGAAAGGGTTAACAGGTAGACCAATTGAAAAGCCAGAGGTGGAGCCTACCTGTTTATAAAAGGGCTTAGCCCGAGGTTTGGGTGTAGTTGTTGGTTGGTTTTAGTGGGTTGGTTGGTTGGGAAAGGCAGTTGGGAAAGCAGTTGGCAGACAGTTGGAAACAGAGAGACAGTTAGTACAGTTGGTTCTTGTGTGAGGGGAGGTAGAAGAGTTAGAGACAGGATAAAATAAGATGAAGAAGGTAAAGAGTAACAACGTTTTGAATGCAGTTAAAATCTATTTGTGTCTGCAATAAACTACACTCTTGTTTGTTAACTTAAGAACCTGACTGAGACTAAGTGATTTACTGGGGAGGACCTGGTTGGTGGCAGCGGATTAGTGGTGTACAGGTCAATAGTCCGTAAGACGACCGGGGGCTCCATACGAACGCCACAACATTCAAGTTGGTGGTCACCACTACCTCTTGTGAGAGGTGTCCCAGTCCAGTTCTATATTTTAGCAATCTCCAGAATAGAGTCATAATACCAGCTGTGTTCTGAAAGCCATTCTTTTGGTAATTTATAATTTGAATGCTTTATTAAGGAGAAGTTTGGGAAACAATTTTTGAAAAGAATTGATTAGTATTCTTTGTATTTCACTTTTCAGATCTTAATTAATTTCATTATATCCATCAATTAAGTGTCTCGATGTTTCTTTCTTGCTTTCTTTTTGCTGGTAGGTACAAGTGTATTGCCTAGACACAGACTGTTGCTAAAAATGAATTGACTGCATAAAATATTTGACCTGGGGGCATTCTTTCTCCTCCTGTGACTTGACATGGCTGCTAAAGTTTGTCAGTGTGGCACAGAAGAAATCAGACATCTGCCAGGGGTCCTTTGATAAGCTTTATTACCTGCCTGAGGACAAAGCAGATAACTGAAATTTCCCCTAAGGGTAAACCTTATGAACCGTGCAGCAAATTACACTTACATTTTTTGTCAGAAATCCCAGGAATACATATCCGACAGAGTGGAATTGTAGACTGTTCTTTCCCTAGGTTTTGAGGAGTCCCTTAGGCCTTTCATATAGTCTCATAAGAACACAATACAATGAAAATATCTGGAAATCTACCGTAATTGAGACAGTCTGTCCATTAGCTCATTTGTGAGATTGCACTGCACTCACAATCAGGCATTTCACTTGAGCAGTTGTTTGTGCAACTGAGCCTGTGCCTTGCAGATAGACTACCTAAATTGGCTCTAAGAGAAACTTCTTCCTTGCATTTTACATAGACAGTTCTACCCAAAATTCTGGGGAAGTGAGAACCTCTTTTGTGTGATAACATTCTGGTTTAATAAACCTATTTAATAATAAACTGAGATTAGATTAATTCATTTATTTTATAGATCACTCTCATGGAATAAGTTGTTTAGGGCAGTCATACAACACTCTTCCCTAAATCTTTGTAAGACAGATATGTTCCTTCTGGGGATGAATCAAATCTTGCAAATCTGGCATTGCAGTGAGAGGTGCTGTTACTTGACCCATTTTCAGTTTGTCTTGCCATCGTAAAGAGTCCTTGTAGGAGAAAACGAGAGTTATTTCACAAATGAATATCATTTCTTTGTTGGTAACTTAGCGTTCACTGGTGTTCACCATTACATGATTAATGCACATATGTCTATGTCACATGTGAGCCACCCAAAGCCAATAACTAAAATCATTGGCAAAAATGAGAGAAAGAACTAAGTGTTTAGCTTTAGCTGACTAGCAGCCTTCATATTTCCATTATAATATCCATTATATGAAACAGAAGGCATGGATATATTGAAATCTTACAAGATGGATGGCATTTCTAAAACTGCCAATGTTATGTTTAGCATGTAGCAGTTCCTACAAACCCCTTTCTGAGAATAATAGCATCACGAGATACCCGTATGAAACAGGTGGTATCTGATAGTGAATTGTACATTTGGGCTGCCATCCACCCAGATTTTCCCAACTGATGTCAGGGGGTTTCCTAAAAAAAAAAAAAAAAAAGCAAAAAAATAAAATAAAATTCGGGGGGCGGCAGTCCTGGTTTTTACTTTTTGAAATATGGCAACCCTATTCTAGACACTCCAGGCTGACTTGACTTTGTTTAGATTTATACCAGGTATCCCCAAACTCGGCCCTTCATATGTTTTGGGACTACAACTCCCATCATCCCCGACCACTGGTCCTGTTAGCTAGGGATGGTGGGAGTTGTAGTCCCAAAACATCTGGCGGTCCGAGTTTGGGGGTGCCTGATTTATACCTTTTCTGATCACTCCAGCATATGGTTGAAACTGGTCTCACTTATGCAGATCACCTTCCTGCTTCTTAAAATATCCAACCTGACTCTTTCAGATAAAACCAATCCCAAATCAGACCATTTAATTTGGCCCAAACCATAACAATCTCCTTTGCATTAAATTGGAACTATGAACATCAGTTTAGAAGTTATATATCACCTTAGCAATGTCAAAGTAAACAAGTATTTTTTACTTTAGGAATTTTAATATATTTTTATCACTTATGAAAACATCTTTAAAAATAACATAAAACCCCTAGAAAATCCAAACAGAAAATCTCTATTCCTCTCTCCTGATTCAACCCCCAAGCTCCCATCAAAGTCAGTCAGATCTACATACTGTTCCCCAACAGATACTTTTTTATCCATGTACCTTTGAACATTATTGGAAATGGATGGATTTGGGGGGACAGTCACCCCATAAATACTCCAGCAGTTGTAAAACTGGCACTTTTGAAAACGTCACAACTTTTGTAAGATGTCTAACTATCCAACCTTTTTGTACCTTACAATGTAGGTATTTTGACATGGGCTCTTGGACTATGAGAGTTTTGTCTTCTTGCTGATTACATGGTAGGACTCTTGGACACGTTGCTTCCTATAATGAAATCACTAACAGAGAGCGCTATGAAATTTCCCTTTGATGTGTTGTAGGCAGGAAACAATGTATTTCTTTCAGATAACTCATGAATTTGTCTTCTGTTGGCATCTCTGGCTATTTTGCAGCTGTACCTAATGGAGTCTCCTGCATGCTTGCTTTCCTCCCATCAGTTTCTGGAAGTGAAATCTCTTTGCTGATTGTTCTGGTACACGTTTCAAGGTGTGCTTTTCATTCTTCAGTCACCTAGGTCATGAGTGTTGCTGCAACATCAAACAATGAGTGTTGCTGCGACTTTAAACAAATTACTCCCCATCTGTACCAGGAAAGATGGGAACACTGTATGCTATTGCAATGTAAAAGTTTGGAAACAGTAATGTTAAAAAAAGAAAACTAACAGATTGAATTTATGTGTGACATGTTTGTTGATAGCCATATTTCAGGGGTGCATCATTCTTCAAGAAGAATTTGGTAGATTTGCTTCGGGGCATTAAGTAATAAAATTATATTTAATATACTTCTGTATTAGTAACTGGTTAATGAAAAAAAAAACTTTTGAATTGTGGTGCAGTACTGGAAGATGCACGTAACTACTTTTCAGATGAATACTACATTTTGTCCTGATTGTGCTTTTTCTGTAGCAAGCTGTGTAGTTCAGCTACTGTTGCTTTGCTTGTAGTGAAGGAGAGAGCATAATACTTAAGTGAAACAAAAATAAGATTGCATTGTAATATATTAATGATATGATGATGATCATGTACATAGTATCATAGCTAATCATACATCTAAAGACTGAGAAAATGCACCCTAATAAAATGTAAGTATTCTGGATTTTTTTTATATATAAATAAAATCTTTTCTCACAATAGCTGACAGATACACAAATTTGGATACACAAATTGGAAGAGGTTTGCTGATAAAACTTTTATTGTGACAGTCCTGATACATTATTATTAGAAAACTGCAAACATATTATAATTGTTCAAATTACATATCAGCAAATTACATAAAGGCAATGAGCAATTAATTAGAGTTCAAATTTCATATTAAGGTCAGCTACTTTTGCCCTTGAGAGCTGATCGTTAAGAACTGAATTCATAATTTCAATACAAAAAGTACCATTGAATTTAATTTAGCCGTTCAGAGGTAACATGTTTATTTTGTTAACATATTATATATTTTCTGTTGTCTGTATACCTTACCACATATGTTTATTGCATGTAAATTGATATGTGATAATATAGCCAATCACTTTTGAGTACACCTCTCTAGTTATATACTATAGAAATGATCTCTGAAACAGTGACATTGCAGATGCTCTTATGAAGCGTGTGACATATACTTTTTCAGTCTCGCTAACTGTTGTGCAGACACTGAAAAAGGTTAGCAAGGATATCAAGTCAGCATACATCAAAATCACATCTATTTATTCATGTGTAGACTCATATTCTTGTTTAAACAGATAACAAAGTTCTTAGGTTCTTTGGCTGCACCTGCATTTCATCCGTATCATAATTTCATTGGGATACCTTTCACCACTTTAAGTGGCTGCAATTCAGAGAAATTACTGTTCCCTAACTATGTACTTGTTCTGTTGGTTTCAATAGACCTTAGGGTGTGTGTCTTTATTTTTGTCAAATTTCAAATTTACTTTTATACTTAAGGAAGTTTCCTGATTTATAGTTAATATAGGAATGGAAGATATGCTAAATAAAGTTAAATAAAATAAAAAGGTTGTTGCCAGGCAAAAAAATGTATCAACTTCTAGTCTTTCCTCAAAGCTTGAATCTAAATGAGAGACTTTCCCAGCATTTTCCTTTTTATTGACTATTCCGTCCATTAGCCGCTAACTTCAGATCAAGTTAAATAGCTCCCATTCCTGTACAGATCCCTGCTATTCACTTCCTTCCATTATGAAAGGGATCCATTAAACTTTTGTCCTATCCATAAGATAATTTGTCGTTTTATTCTTTTCTTTGGGAGGAGAATGAGGATGGGACACAATTGCCCTAGATCTTCCACATTTATCTATTCGGTGTTGTTCTGCAGTGTTTAAAGCATAGTTAGAAATACTTCACAGTAGTCTAAATAAACATCATGAGGTCTTATTTTTAAGATGATTGAAATCACCGAAGGAGATTAGCTTTACAGCAGTTAAAAATTCAGCTGTTCAGTTGAGCATACTGCTCA